GTAGTAGGTCACTAACTATTTCCTCCTGGATTATGGGGGGTATATTCTGCTCTTTGTCCTTGCCTTCCAGCTCAGGGGGTGGAGCACCCTGAGGATAACTGGTCTCCCTATTAAAGACTGAGGCAAAGAAAGCATTAAGTACCTCAGCCTTTTCCTCATCTCAGGTGGCAACGTTCCCTCCTATATCATTAAAGGATAGATATTCTCCTTGGGACTCCTTTTACTGTTAACATATTTGTAAAAACATTTTTTGTTGTCCCTTACAATAGTGGCCAGATTTAGTTCTAGCTGAGCTTTTGCCTTTCTAATTTCCTCTCTGTATGACCTAACAAGATCCCTGTACTCCTCCCAAGTTGCCCGCCCTTTCTTCCAGAGATGATAAACTCTCCTTTTTTTCTTGACTCCTAGCATATACTACTGCCTCTATGCTTCTGAAATGTGCAGAATCTTGCTCCTGTAGGATTAATCATTTCAATTACCATGAACAACTATTCCAGAATCTGCATACCCTGCATTTGGCAATCTTAGGAGTCGTTAAAGGAGCTGGTCTTGTAGAACTACATTGTCTAGACTAAGAACAATAATCCTTTTCTTAAAGGATAACTGAAAAGCACAGGGTATGTAAAATTATTAAAAATATTATGACAATTAGTAGACTATAAAAAAAGCTAACCGCTATTACACTGTCACTCACATGCATACCAGCTTCTGTGCCACTCAACAACTCAGCATATCATGCCTTTTTACAAAATACCACCCCAGTTTTAAATTAAAGCAATATTTTTCTACATTTGCAGATCATGTTTTCTCTGAAAGTGGTGTGATGGCAGCATGATTAGACAAACCCTTTCAAGACCCTGATCAATATACCCATAACTGAAACTCACATTTTCATGTTAGAAGTTTGCAAGTTAGCTAGATGAAAGTTGGTCACATTTTCCCCTGTAATGCTGACCCACCTGACAAAACCATGGCTGATAATTCAAATGCTGTTAGCCACTTAGTAGCAATGAATGCAGCATATCCCAAGCAATACCCAAGTATCCTGAATTTATAATAATTTTTTTAAAAGCTATCTTTTCTTTTTCCCTGAAAAGAAGAAAAATTTGTCAGCATTTATTACAACTGATCTACAATGCTAACATTAAGTGGAAACTACAGGTGATCTAAGAACATATGACTGCAGAATTATTTTTCTGAAAAAGTAATCCTGAAGTATCTGTAGAAAAATTAAACTCTATGCTGGGAAGAAAATGGACAATGACTTCCAGAAATGTTGATTAAAGTTACTGGGATTAATAGGAACTGACTGGATCCTTCCACTCAGAGTATTTCATTAAATCAATGGAAACCTGGCACAAAAGTATTTCAATATTAGAAAAAGTTGATGTTTTGTTAATGTCCAAATGTTAACAAAGAAAAATTAACAACAAGGAAATCATTACCAATAACACTTTAGGTATGGCAAGTTACAAACTACACAAAGATTTCAAATGTCTGTGTACAATGCTGGACTAGCCCACAAAGAATTACACTTCTGGGAGATGCCCAATGTGGTATTCTTCAGTATAAACACCAAAATAGAACATTGCCTCTGCAGGCTGCTTTTCCTCAAGGGGCTCCTTCTACGCAGCCCCCTTCCACAGCCAGAATAGGCTTCCCTGTACCCCGTAACCTTCTCTTGTTACTCTCCCAGCACAAGAAAATAACAAAGAAAAAGCACTTTTTTTCCCTTTGATTTATTTTTTAAAGAAAACTTTGATAATAAACTCAGGGCTGGCTAGCCACAGCTCCTCCAGCCTTTAGAATGGCAGGCTGTCCAGTTACAATTAGCAAATCCTATTAATGGATTTTAAGTAGAATTATCAAATCATTTATTTTCCCTACACTAATGGCTAAACATTTCAATTAAAAGCAGTCATATTTCTTCAGTACCTGGGCCAAAATCTGAAGGAAATCCAGCTAGTAATAGGACTACAAATAGATAAAGTAATGTTATTCTACGTTTTTTGAAGCCTTGGAACTTGCAACAATAACATTTATTAATCTTCAGACAGCTACATTCCCCTCACCTTTTAGAAATACAGTTTAAATCACCCACAGATTTTCTGTCAGCACTTCATGGGCTGAATGAAAATCTCAAATTTTGCTCAGCTCTAATACCAATCTTTTTTTTTCTAGTATACAATGCTCTTTGATTTTCTCTAATCATAATCCCATCCCATTTAATACATAGATCATAATTTAGCGGGTAGCTCACAGTGGTTACAGATGTTTCACATATCTTTTGTTTTTAATTTTCATATATTAGAATATAATAAAAAAAATATTACTTAAGATAACACCCAACACAGCTGGTGCTGTCCTATCTGACTACCACAAATAACGACAGGCAGAATTAATGCTGTGTTTTGTCACATAATCCCTTCCTAATTTGAATCTAATCATTAAGCATTCCTTCAATTCCACTCCGTCAATGCATCTGGACAGGTAAAGCTTGCCTCTTTCAACTTCCTTTTTTATATCCTCTAACAGGGCACTCCATTTATTCATATGCACAGCATTATTATTACTGAGACAAAAGTTTTCACACTCTCTTCCATCTGTTTATTATCAACGAGTTATCTTATGCTTCAAATTTAAAAACACCTTTGTTGTCAGGTTGCTCGATAGTAGTCCAGCTTTCATAGCCATTACTGCAAAATATGGGGACAAGCTACACAAAGACTATGTGATTATACTGGAAATGGCTGCCACCGAGGCACAGTCATTTTATTTTTCTTTCCTTAGGACCCACAACAGATAGTGAACTTGCAACAAATCATGAAATACCCTAATATTTTGGAATAAACAATTACTTTGCTGTTAGAAAGTAGTGTACACTTCATTCTTAAGGAACCTTACCAATAGCAGACTCTTTCAAATGACTTGAACTGGAGCTGCTCAAGTTGTCCAATACGCCCAGCTCATCATCTAATTCAGAGAACATATCTGCACATAAAAATGAAAGCAAAGAAGCTTTTAATCCACCTCTGACCAGCATAATAGTACTCCTGATGCTTCTTTTGCTAATGACTACCTTTCTCAGAGTTCTCTAAACTGCTGTGATCCTCTACCAGCATTTCTTCATATGTTCTTTCCTCATCTTTTCCACATGCAGATTGACCGCTTTCAGCTGGGAGGTCAGTATTTTCTAATTCACTTTTGCAGCTGGCTGCTCCACTGCTGCTGCTATGAAGACTCAACTTCTCGTAATTTTTCTGACAACAAAGAACATAAAGGAAATGATACATATTGTCTTTATCCAGCACTCATTAGAAAAGCTGCAAACAGAAGTGTCGCTTGTGTATACATGCACATAAAAATGAACTTTTTGTTCCCACTTAGCTGTTAGTCCAGGACTACATGGTACCTGGTTCAGCCACTGATTCTAAATTTAGAGAAAAACTTTCAAACTCTTAATGTAAACAAATTATTTCTACCCTTCACATAAAAGGCATTTTTGGTCTTGATGAAGGTCTTTTTATAACAAGCACTGAAAGTGAAAAAAATTAAACAAATGCCAGACCAGAAAGAAATACTGAACAACACAAAAAATAAAAGACTGGACAAAGATAGTAGATTCCCAGATACAAGCAATGGGAGATTTACTCTCTTCCAGAGTAACAGTCTGGAAGTTATTCCAGACTGTTCTAAGGAACAGTCTCTTCCTCAGATAATAAACAGCAGACCAGTCCTGGACAATGAAAAACCTGCACAATAGTCAAGATGGTAGTAAAATATGAAGTGAACTTGATATGATGTGATGCCAGAGAGACTCCCCAAGGCTGACTGGCATTATCAAAGCAGAGCTAAGAAAAAAAAAACCCCAAACACATGGCATATAAATTATTTGCCTGTAACATTTAAGTGCTGATTCTTGTCTGTAGGACAAGGTTCTTTAATGAGTATAAAATTCTGCCTCTGCTGCTGTCAATGTTTATAGCTTTTCTGGAAAGAATAGAGATCCCTGATCCCTGCTATTGCCTCTGTTTTAATGCAACATGTTTTGAAGGCAGGCTGTTTTTATGACCTCTTCATATATTGTTCCAAGTCTTCTCATATTATTTCTGTTGTGCATAAATAAATTGATGCTTCTTTTTACTCTATCTTGTCAGAGCGAAGTGCGATAAAGGAGAACAGAAGATAAGTTATATAAATATATCAGATTAAATGAATGAGCATCTTTAATATTAAAGTAATTTCAGGAGACAATACATTCCTAAATACTTATATTCTTACCAAGTGTCAAAGACAATTTGGCTTGTATCTAAGACAATGTTCTTCCAAAGTTTCTCCCATGAAGTATTTTGACCTTACTGGGACACAGCAGAATGGATGCATTAGAAACCCTTCCTCCTTCAGAAACCTAACTGCACCCCTGAGCACTGACTATACCACTGCCTGCGCAATGGTCTGCTTCAATTACTTCCCCATGTTTTGTTCTATTCCCAAAACTATAACTTAACTTGTAAGAGATGGCTTGTCAAGCTTTTCTCTTTAAATTTGGGTGGGAAAAGATAATTTTATACTTGAGTACCAGACTGAGTTTATGTCCAAAATGCCATAATAGCTGTGACTGCAGTGTAGCACAGCATGGCAACCACTAACAATGACTCTCAAGCTCACTTAAAGAGAGCAGTCTAGTCATGGCATATGAGCATGTTTATTGTGCCCTGAACAGTCAGTGCACAATTTCTGAAGAGAACCAATTCACCTGCTCTGCATCAAAGAAAACAAAGTAAAGAGAGAGAAGGGTCAAACTGCATGGACATTTCAAACTTAAATTTCTTTCAACATTGCCAGTACTGAACCTCACACTCAGATGACTAACTGTTAACAATAACTTGTAAATCAAGTGGAGCTAAGGGAAAAAAAAGATCAAAAAGACTGCTGTTACCACTCGGTGTCAGATCTAACTGCCACATCAAGAAAGGAAACCTGTTTGAAATGCGTGAATTGAATTCTGTAGACCTCATTATAAAAATAATTGTCAGACCTCCTATATAGAAACTATTGAGAGATCAGTGAAGTGTATCCTAAAGCCTTAAAGCAGTTACATAAACTGTAAAGTTATAACCTGCCTATACATAAAATCTGGTCCATTTACATAATATCTAAACATAGAGCACTACAGTATTTCATTACTAATCTGAGAGTAATAAATAAATTTACTGTGATATATTTTGTCCTACCTATACAATAGCTAATAATTTTCAAAAGTGAGATATACAGTTGTTTCTCTTTTGAGTAGGACACTTGACTGATTTAGAAGGAAAAAAGTACCCTGACTGGAGGAGGCTGGGTGGTGAGTTCAATGCCATTTCTGCTCAGCATTGGAGTAGGACCATAAGGATATAAAGAACATAATTTTGTGAGAAGAGCATGAAGAAAGTATTCTCCAAGACCTTGAAACAACCATTTCCACAGGTCTCAGTGTCTCGGAAAGATTTTTTTCAGACAAGCAGAAAGACAGATACTTATCTTTTGAAGAAATCTGTGAAACAGTGGAATATTCAAAACATCACAAACATTGAAACATTAGTTAGGTTGATATATATTAATTTGAACTGTGCTCATACCTATGCTTGATTCTAGACTCCAGTATTTTACAAATCTTTCTGGAGGCTTTGTCAGTTGATCCAGTTTATTTTCACATTTTCATAATAAACCACCTCTGTTAAAACAAACCCTGCCTTCTAGTATAAACACACACAGTTCTAAAGGAAATCTAAGGGGAAAAGAGTCCCTGTGCAAAAAATGTTCAAATTATGAACCAATTAAAATTTTTTTCCAGGATTCATCTTTTTTTATGACTGAGCAAAAGCATCTGTGGAAACGCTTGAAATTTGTGTCCCAGCCATAAAGAAAAACCTCCGTCTACAAACTGAGACTCTTCATCCATATCCTGTATACTTGCACCATCTCTCTCTTCACTGGTCACCATCACCACTGTAAAATCAGATATACTTTATTTTTGGAGAAATGAAACTTGAATTGGTCTTTTCAACTTCCAATAGGAATCTAATCTTTTATAAATTTAAATTAACACTGTCAAAAAAAAAAAAAAGGTAGGTTTAACTAATATAAAGATATTGATCTTTTGTTTAGCTCTGTTTTGCCACATTGCTGTCCAGAAGAATTAACTTTTCTGTCTTCATGAAATATAGAGCTCTCTAGTGGCATTTGCAAACAGTGTTTAATTAATCTTCTTTATTAGAGACAAGTAATTACAGCATTATACTAGTCAATTGAATTTCTATTTCAAGAAAAAAAATAAAAAGAACTACTTCCACTATTAAACTATTTGTAAAAAACTAGAAGATGGCAATAAAATGAGTAACAGCTAACATGAAATTGTCAGGGGAAAAAACCATACTAAACCAACATATTTCTTTCTGTAACAAAGTAACAGCTCTTGTGCATTAGGAACAAGAAGTAGATGTTATTTATAATGGTTTTAGTAATGCTTTTGACAATGTTTCTCACGACATCTTATAAGAAAGCTAGGGAAGTGTGACCTAGAAAAAATCATGATCAGTTGGCTGTATAATTGACCATAAAAATTGTACTCAACTTGGTAACTACTTTCAGTGTTTGTTAAACTGAAAATGGGTAGTGAGGACAATTTTTTCAGGATCCCTTCTGACCTTGTTCCAAAACCATTCAATGTTGTCACTGAATTACAATGATAATCTGCATAATGGGATAGATAGAACGTCTATTAAATGTGCCTAGATAGTGATACTTTCACATCATATATCATATTACAGCATATACATCATACACAGAGTTGTGTCAATGCAAGTGACAACAGGTGTCAAAGAAAGTTTTGAAAAACTGGAGAAACTAAAAGAACTGATGAAGTTTAAATAGGGAGAATGCAAATTTCTATGAGCAGGGAGAAACAACTGTACAAATGCACAGACTGGGGAAGGACTGGTCAGACAGCAGCTCTGCAGGAAAAGATATGGAGATTTTGGTGGAGCAGCAACAGAACACAACTCATCAATACCATGCTGTTATGAAAAGGTAAACATCACACTAGGATGTATAAAGAAGAGAATCATCCCTAAGAACTGTGTAATCTTTCTACTTGGTACCAAGAAGGTTCTCAGTTGGAGTAATTGAGTCCAGTTTTAAACACTACACTTAAAAAATGTGGAGAGACAGCAAAGGAGAGAAACGAGAATAATCAGAGGTCTACAAAACACAACTTACAAAGTAAGACTGATGGAATTTGATTATTCAGTCCAAAGAAAAAAATTACAGAGTGAAGATAGAACATATAAGAGAAAATAAATAACTCTTACATATTTCTACTGTGGGCAGGACAAAAAGAAAGCAGCTTAAGCTGCAACAAGTAAAATTTAGGTTAGATTTTAAGACCACCTAACAGTAATTAAGTGTTCAGCTATTGCATCTATCTGGGATCCTGCAGAGAGAAGTGTTCATACAGTATGTAACAGGCTTGAATGTGCTTAGTAAATGCAGTGTTCTGGGGATATTCTGGACTTAGTGCTCTCAGAGCACTTACATAACACTTAAGAGTGGGTCTGAAAATTTCAAGTGTAATATACATCCCATATGTGCACATGCATATGTCTATCGAATATCTCCTGGAAACAAGACATACACAACACATCTACTCCGTCAAGCATACAAAACAAGACCAACATTTTCTGAAAGCATCAGCATAACTGCAGATACAGCATATAGCACAGTGTATATGTGCTATGGGTATGCCCAGGATTTCCAGTTATCTTCTGACAGCACTTCAGGCATCCTCATGGTTTTCCAGATGTTATCTTCAGATGGAAAAAGAAAGACTCATTTAGACATGTGATTGCTGACTGTAAAGACATTTTTTGCATTTCTGCTGCTTCCAAACTGTTCCCTAGTTTGGCATAGTTTGCCTTGGGGGAGACTTTCTATCACTTGACATTTTTATTACTGGTCAAATACCTGTCAGGAGTGACAGGTAGCTCTAACGCTTGAAGATAGACAAGATAATCTCTGACAACTCTACCAGCCTTATATTCTGTAATTCTATTAAAGTACTTTGATGCACTAACAAATTGAAGCTGAATTAAACATTTTATGGGTTTGTCCTTAATAGTTTGATCATACATTTTCACAGGTAGTAGCTTGACTATTTTCTACATTCAGCAACTCTTAAAAAAATTATACCTGCAAAACAGTTTTTGCATAATTATTTTATTCTCCAAACATAAATAGTATAAATGTAAAAAGGTTACTTTCTTCTTATCACACCAGCTCTAACTTCTAACTTTTAAACTTTAATTCCAGTACCTGCTACATAAATGCCAAAACAGAATGGTATCAGAACAAAATCAATGGAGTGAAAGGTGGGAGATGAAAACAATTTGTGGAATGCTAAGCTTTCATGACATTCCTGAGTCCTCACTCACTTCCAAATCAATGGGAATTATCTGCAGCAGTGCATAGACAGGCACTATCACCCAAAATTTTTATAAAATTTTATTAACTTTTTAATAATAAATTTTAATAACAATAGGAATTGAATATTACAACCTAATAAAGATTGGACTATATTGCTGCAATATTAATAACCTGTTGCATTCTATGTGTTTTAAAACTAAATATACTCTTTGCTTCAACCAATACAAAAACAGTTACTGCATTCATACACAGTTGTTTTAAGAAAAAAATCTTTTATGCATTCATTGGCTGAACCGAGCAAAATACTTATACAAACACACAGAAAAAGGAATAACATTAATCCAATCTTTATGTCTTTTTCTGAGTTAACAAAAAAAATAGATGAATTCAAACCTAATTGCTAATTAAGCACTACTTTGTAATGCACGTGGTGATGCTTAGAAACTAACATGATTATTAGCACAACAATTGCCAACAGTGCAGAACAGAATTTGTGTATGGGGGGAAATGACTTGGTAAAAACGCAGTTAAATCATTTTGTGTTCCTTTGCCCTTCAGATAGTTGTGATCCTGTCCTCATTTATTCTAAAAACTTGAGGAAATTGATGGCTGCTTTTAATTACAAGAGTTGTCAGTAGCCTGCAGGGTGGTTACAAAAGTACGGATTCTTAAATCTTGAGGTTTAACCCTTCCCCCTTTGGCCACACATCCCTGTGGATGAAGAAAAAGGTTGGGATAAAGAAAATCCAATCCTGTGGATAAAGGAGAGTGGGAGCAGTAGCATGGTCTGTATTTACAGGTATTCCTACAAAATGCTTCACAATCATTTGCATTAGGGTCTTTGTGATAGAAGAGACATACAAAGAAATCCCAATGTTTCTCAAGCCTTCAGATACACTATTGATGTTTCTAAACCAATCTAGAAAAGACAGTACAATCTACTCTTAATTTTCTACAGGTGGATTATGAAGGTTTATGCCACAGATGAAGACAGGAAACTGAATCAGCTATTTCAGGTCCAGCCAGGCTCTTTAGTTCAGATGTAGTCCTGTCTGAAAACAGCTATACTGCTCCTTTCACTATTTCCAGCCAATAAATAGTTGAACTGCTTCTGCAAGATGGCACCAGGCAGGCTTCTGGATAGGCTGTAACATACCTGCCTGCAAGCAGAATAATCAGAGTATGTCTCCTAGCAGCTGCATCCTAGTCCAGAAGCGCAATACCTTGATACCTGCAGATCTAGGTCTGGGAGGGCCAGTCTTGACCTGCAGCTAAAAATCTTATCTAGATGGAAGACGACTCACCTTAAATCTATATGCCAGGCTCTTCAGCATGCTGGTTTAGGGGAAGACTTGCCAGTTCAAGTGTGAAAACAAAGAAATGCAGAGCGCGACCTTGCTAATAAGCGTTCTTGTACATTTGAACATTAGGACAAAATACTCAGCTAATTGTGACCTAAATGGACCAGCTCAGACCAAGTACTGTTAATGACTTCTGACACCCTATTAGCCCTGACAAACACTGGATGTGGAGCCACTCCATAGATCGCACCGCACTCAGAACCGAAAGTTGTACCTACTTTTCCATTATCTAAGCATCTTAGTCTCCCGTTACTCTGCACAATTGGGAACTTCATTTGAATACATAGATTTGCATATATGGATTTAAAAATAAAATGTGTATTCTAGTGGCATGATTAATACAAAAATTAAAATAAGCTTAAATTCTCAAAGAACACAGTATTACAAAAAACTGCTATAGAGAAAGAATGTGACAGAATATGTGTGCCATATGCACAGATCAGAACTTCAGAAACTGAGAAAAGGAAGTTATTCTGATCAGCCAGGTAGCCTATCATGTCTGCCCATTTTTAGCATATTCTCTGAGAGTAGCAGGAGGTACAAATGGCTCACATTTTTATATATATTTTTAGCTGACAGACTCTGACTATAAAGCTTACAGTTTTCTCTCCCACATTGAAAATATAGGACAGATCTCAATTTTCATCATTCTATATTGGTTTAGGTATATTGATATTTTACATTTAAAAATCTGGCAATGAGAAAAATGTTATTCTATTTATATGTCAAACAGTATATGAACACACTGGCTTATCAAGGGCTTCTAAGCATTATTTCTAAGTTAAAAACACTTCAGGATACATGCACTAAATTAAACAATAATGGATGATGCCCATGTAATGAAACACATATTTCCAAAGTAATAAAAGTGACTTATTTTCAGCTTTTTGCAAACAGCCAAAATAATGTCTAAGTTTTTCAAATCTATATACCTCAAAAAAGCAATCAAATTATTATTTGGCTACCTTCTCATCTCTTTAAAGGAAAATATTAGAAAGATACTTTCATTATTAGTTAAATCAACTACTGTTTTGAGACTCAGATTTAGCTTAGAACACAGAAAACTCAACTTCGCCACTGGTCTGTTTGGTGACCTTACCCAAACTACCTTTTTCCTCTCTACCCTTTCCTACCCAGAGCACAAAAATATAATATTGACCACCTTGAAATGAAAGGTACTATGTGAGAGATAATTACTACAATTATGATTACTTGTTTGGGTCCTCTATACCCTGTGTTATGTCAGCAACCTTCGACTTTCAGAACTGAACACACTAAATTTATTAAACACCTTTCATCCCTACATCTGCTTGTGTTCTTACATAAACAACAATTTCTATGAAAAACAAGGAAAGATAAGAATTTATGTGGGGAGCTGATAATGACTGTCTTTATTAGGATTATTTTCAAGCATGGATTTTATGCTATACTTGCCAGACAATGTAACTACACATCTCCAACATCATCTACTGACCTGCCTTTCAGTTGCCTACTTAATCAGCCTCCATACTAGTCTTAAACTACTTATAAAACAGATTCCACTCTGGTTCCAAAAGATCTCTGTTGTTTAGTTCCATAAACCAGGACAGAGAGTACGCTCTTTATTTCAGAAACATTCACATTATGACACAACTGGGATGAAAAAGGAGGCCGTAAGTACATTTTAGTAGAGAGAAAACAAGTATAAGAAAGCTGGCTTCAACAAAACGTTGAACTACATGGCAGAAACACTGAATTTTCCAACACCACAGAAAAATGACAAATTATTTGGCTGTGGAATCACCAGGGCCTTTACTAAGATGAATTAGGTTGTCCATACCTCACAGAGTTTTTATTTCAGGAACAGTTGCTTGAAATTCTTCCTAGTACTTTTAGTTAGAATATTGTCTTTTTTTCAAAAGTCAAACTTTTCAGGAATAATTATTCTCTTTATCAGAAATCCTCCAAGTTCATACAATTTTCCTATAATACTGGGAACAAAGAAACATCAGTCCTGTTTCTAAGCCCTGTAGCACTCCTCTGAAATTCTGAAGGATCCTAGCCTGATTTATTCTATCTTTTTTACAGCAAGGACACCCAATTAGGTCTCCCACTTCTCATTACTGAGCCATACTCCCCTCAGCTTCTGCAGTATTCTGGATCTGTCAGATCTTCTTGTTGTACCTGTTTCTTTTAATATACATAATAAAATATCCACTGGAGTAGAACTAGAATTACAGTATTCCTTCCTTGAGAAGATTAGCCATTAACCCCCAAAACAGAGAGGCATTTTCCGTCTCATTTTGTAGATAGGTGTTATTTTCCAAGTATTGATACAAAACAGGAGTACTCTGACTTCAATGTAAAACTATTAGTTCTAGCCTATCTTACAAGTGTCTGGATAGGGCAATCTTCTCTCAAAGACAGCATAACTGCATTGAAATCCCAAATCAAGCAGCTTTCCATACATAGCACATTTTTTTTCAAGTTTCATCACAGTTATGCGACAGAACGACTATATCAAGATATAATGACATACAACAAGCTTCCAAATGTGTAGGGTAAGAAAATTCAAAAACCAATGGAAAATAATTGCTTATACTGTTTTAAGTTATAAATCCTACTCTGTATCTTTCTTTTACCTCAGTACCTCTTACCTTTCAAATTACAGCGGTTTGTTAAGGTTTTTCTGGAAGTTTTTGGCATCCTTTTTGTTGAAAAAAAAGGTATAATACAAATAATCATCTTGGAGTGATAGGCTAAAAATCTACCGAAAAAAAATGATTAACAATTTCTACAAGTCTTACGTTTGGCCAGGAAGGTGAAGATAAAGAACATATTAAAGAAAAAAACAAACCAAACAAACCAACACCCATGAGCTTAGGACCAGGTGTTCCTGAAAATCATTCTCCTACACAGAAGTTCTTCAGTGCAAACTACTGAGCCCTGATAAAAGAAATCTAAGAGTGATACAATAGCTGAACAGACAAAAGTAGCTGTGTAAATTCTAACTTTGCTTCACAATTACCATAAAAATGATTTTCTCAGTGAGCTTTTACCACCTTGGGTTTTTTTAAAGTAAATTCTCTGAGATAATATACAAGTTTGGTTCATTATATAAAATACTGATGTCCTTCATGAAGAGTGCTTAAAACACAGCCTGAAGCAAATGAAAGAATTTTAAGAAATATTTCTGCAGAACTGCATCACACAGTAAGAAAGCATGAGTTTTACTGATAAACACCTTATCAGCATCACTGTTCTTTTTTTAGCAATCTGTAATTAAAAACTATATTTATGTAGGTTCCATTTTCATTTTGGTTTATTTTCTGCTTTGTTGTACCTTATTTTCTCAGATATGGCAAACAATAAGAAAAAATAAAGCCTAATACGTGTACTTACTTGTGATAAAACAGAAAGCTGATGGTGATAGGTTACTGCATTTCGATTAGCCTCCATGAAGTACCTCTGGGTTTGTCTCCTCTGCCGATCCAGTTTCTTCTCCAACATGAGATGAGAGGTAGATAAAACATCCAGGTATTTCATCATCACATCAGAGAGCAGTGAGCTGACCTCCACTATGTCTGGACGTGCCTCTGCATCAGGAGTCAAGCATCTACAAAAAGAACATTCTCTAATGAAAGTTAATTACTTCTTCCTAAAAAACTGTTTACTACCACCGCATTCCTACACTGATATTTATCAAGTCATGCTGGCCAGCACTCTGCTCAAGCCTGCCTGGGACAGTTTAACGCTGGGCAGCCTTGGTGTTGACACACCACAGAGCACAGTCTCTGGCATCAGCTGGAACAATTGTCCTTGGCACCAGCCCAGACAGAACTGCTATGGGGGCGTGTCCAGGTTTCAGCTGGGATAGAGTTAATTTTCTTCCTAGTAGCTGGTATAGTGTTATGTTTTGGGTTCAGTATGAGAAGAATGTTGATAACACACTGATATTTTCAGTTGTTGCTAAGGAGTGTTTAGACTAAGTCAAGGATTTTTCAGCTCCTCATGCCCAGCCAGCAAGAAGGCTGGAGGGGCACAAGAAGTTGGGAGGGGATGCAGCCAGGGCAGCTGACCCAAACTGGCCAAAGGAATATTCCATACCATGTGACATCATGCCCAGTATATAAACTGGGGGGAGTGGGGCTGGAGGGGGGATCATTGCTTGGGAACTAACTGGGCATCGCTCGGCAAGTGGTGAGCAATTGCATTGTGCATCACTTGCTTTGTACATTCCAATCCTTTTATTATTATTGTCATTTTGTTATTATTATCACTATTAGTTTCTTCCTTTCTGTTCTATTACTGTTCTTATCTCAGCCCATGAGTTTTACCTTTTTCCTTCCAATTCTCTCCCCCATCCCACTGGGTGTAGGGGAAGTGAGTAAGCAGCTGCGTGGTGCTTAGTTGCTGGCTGGGGTTAAACCATGACAAGGGGGCTGCTGCTGTGCACTGCCAGACACACTAGGGAGTGCCTGGTACCTCTTCCTGCGGCTGGGGGAGACATTGGCCTCCCTTGTGGGGACTGTGCTCTGGTCAATGTGCTGCACCACTGGACAAAGCAGCTGTGAAGGAGATGAGTGTGCTGTCAGGAGGATTTATAGGAGAATGACAAGATCTTCACAGAGATGAGACCCCCAAACGACACAAAGAAGGAGGAAAATCTAGAGATTACCCTCAAACGACCAGTAGACAGAGGCTCCCAGGAGGAGGTAGGCTGGAGACTTGTGAATTCTGCCAAGAGAAGGACGTATTTTCCTCCAACTACACATACAATTAGACAACAGGTGTAGTGACCTAGGAACAGGTGAGGAAGAACAAGACCTAAGAGAGGACACATCAGAGCCAGGTCAGTCTGAATCAAGTGTTCATATCACAAATAAGCAGTAGCAACTGACAGTCAGCTGAGACCGAGGGAACAGAGGCATCCATCTACTTGATCTGATTTGATGATTGTGAAGCCTGTTGCTTGTGAGGAGCTTGGATTCAGGACATTGCAGAGATACTACCAAGACTCATCTGGCCCTTAGGCTATTATGCCCTGCTGCTTATTCATATGGGCATGAATGACACTACCACGGCCAACCCCGAACATACTGAAAATGACTACAGAGAACTGGGGTCAATTGTGAAGGGCAGGAGGCTGAGGTAGTGTTCTCCTCAATTGTTCCAGTGAGGGGGGAAAGGCTCAAGCAGGATGCAACCTACACTGCAACACCTGGCTGCGTGTAGTCAAGAGCTTATGGGTAAGGATCAAAGGAAGAGACCAACATGGGTGACGCTGTGGCAGATGCATGCTATAAACCACGCAAAACCAAAGAGGAAGTCAATGAAGACTTTGTTGGACAGATGAAGGAAGCTTCATGATTGCAGCCACTCATACTCATTGGGGCCTATTAACCACTCTGATATCTGCTGATAGGGTAATATGGCTGAGTGCAGCAATCAGGAGATTTCTGGAGTCTGTTAATGACAATTTCTTGATGCAGCTGCTTCGGAAGCCAAGTAGCAAAGTCACTCTGCTAGACCTGTTGCTTACAAACAAGGAAGAATCAGACAGGGATGCAAAGATCAAGGGCAGCCTCAGCTACAGCAACCATCAAACTGTGGAGTTCAAAATCCTGAGAGAAGTGAGAAAGACAGAGTGTATGATTACAACACAGGACTTCAGGAGAGCAGAAGTCAGCCTGTTCAGCGATATTCCTGGTAGAACCTCATGGAAGACTGCTCTAGAAGGTAAAGGAAAAGCTTGGAAGAGCTAGCTAATCTTCAGGGACACCTCAAAGCACAAGAACAGCCCATTTCTGCATGTAGGAAGCAGGGGTGGGCTATACAGGAAGAATATACAGATATTGCCCAAAGGGTGGAGTTAGGAAAGCCAAAGCTCAGCTGGAGTTGAAACTAGCAATGAACGTGAAAGGCAGAAGAAAGGCCTTCTACAAGTACACTGACAACAGAAGAAAGGCTAAGGAAAATGTGGACCCACTGTGCAACCTAGTGACAAAGGACATGGAAAAGGCCGGGGCACTCAATCCCTTTTTTGTTTCCATTTCCATTGGGAAACTTTAGCCTAAGTGGTCCAGATTTCTGAGCCTACCTGTGGAATCCATGAGCATGAAGCATTACCACACAGTAGAAAATATAGTGAGAAAGCATTTAAGCCAATTGGACATGCATAAGCTCATGGGACCAGATGAGATGAGCCTGAGGGTGCTGATGTAACTGGTCAATGCTACTATCCATCACATGTGAAAGGATCAGAGGGAGGCTCCTGTAGCCTGGAAAAAGTTGAATATCACACACATATCCAAGAACAGCAAGAGGGAAGATCCAGGAAGCTACTAGCCAGTCAGCTTCACCTCAGTCCCTGGGAAAATAATAGAGCAAATTCCCCTGGAAGTAATTTCCAAGCACACAAAGGACAAGAAGGCAACTGGGAACAGCCAGAACGGATTTACCAAACAGTAGTCATACCTGACTAGCCTGATTGCTCTCTATGATGACATTACTGGCTCTGTGGACAAGGGGAGAGCAGTATATGCTGTGGGTAGCTTTATTTTTGCAAGGCCTTTGCCACAATATCCCACAATATCCACAGGACTATAAGGCAGGTAGATAATTGGCTGAACTTCCTGGCTTAAAGATATCTCAGCAGCAGTACAAAGTCCAGCTGGTGGCTGGAAGTAGCATCCTCCAGGGATTGATCAGTACTGTTTAACATCTTTATTAATGACCTAGATGATGGGATGGAATGCATTCTCAAAAGGTTTGTGAACATCAAATTGCAGGGATCAGTTGATACATGGGGCAGGGCTGCTGTCAGAGGGACCTGGGCCACCTATACAGAGATCTGATTGCTGTCTACATAATGGGAGGGTATAGAAAAGATAGAGCCAGACCCTTCTCAGAGGTGCACAGAGATAGAGCAAGAGGCAATAAACACAAGTTAGACCACAGGGAAGTCTGATTACATATAAGGATTACTACTACTACTACTATTACTTTTAATCACAAAGACAGGCAAGCACTGAAGAGGGCCCAGAGAAGTTGTGGGATCTCCATCCTTCAAGATATTCAGAACTCAGTTAGACAAGACCCTGAGCAGTGAGCGAGCAGATCTAATTGTATCTGCTTTGGGCAGATGGACTTGATGACCTCCAGGGGTCCCTTCCAACCTAAATTACTTTACAGTTCTATGCTTCTTGTTTCAGGCACCCTAGGTAGCTGTTTAGTAACAGTAATAATATACTAGTAGGTTTTTTTAGATCCCCAGAATATTTTGTATGTAGTGTAGGACATGAAAGCTGATAGGGACAGTTCTGCATAAACTGTCTTAAATCTGTTAACTCCAGTGAACCTGATAATTTACTGTGATTTCCCTGCAAAGTACTATTGACCAGCTAGCATACAGTTACACTTAACCCAACACCCTTCTTTAAAGAAAGTGTCACAGAATGATCTTATTATTTCTAAACCAGTACTTTCTAAATAAATATAACTGCCATGTAAACTTGCAGTTTTGAAAATGTTTTACAGTATTGAACTTCTTGATTTTAATATTTTTTGTTTAAATTTGCTCAAATCTGTTGATTAATCTCATTAATTTTCATAAATTTGTTAACCTGTTTTACTTAAAATTTTATATTTCCTTTAAACAGATGCAAGATTTTCACTCTTAAGAAATGTTTCATTTGACTTTTTCTTTTTAATTTTTTATTTTAATCCACTGAAATTTGTCAAAATTTTCAACAACGTGAGCTATAAAAGATTTCTGATAAGTCCTTAATCCATTTCTCATGCATCTAAAAATAAATTATTTATCTATGACTAAACACTGAGTAGACTGACGTTCAACTCTGAAAGACTTTGATGGTTATGATTCCAGAACTTTCTTTAGTAGCTTAATCCAATAAAACTGTATTTTAGTAATAACAATAATGAAGAATAATAATGATAACACTAAATGCAAATCTACTGTTGCAACATGAAGTTTTCTATGTTTTTTTCTAATCATTATCAATAAATTATTTTTTTCTCTTTATAACATTCATCTTTGAATATGTGTTGTGCTTCAGTTATTTGGAAAGAACTTGTTCATTTCTGTTAATGTTTCCTCATCTATAAGTAAAATCTCATTATTACTGCTTTTCTTTAATGTTCTTTATTCTTTCTAAGTATCTCACAAAGCATAAGCCAAAACCCAAACTAAATATTTAATTTAAGGATTAACCCATAGTAAGAGAATCAACATTTTTAAAAAAATATTTTATGCTTCCCACTGTTATTAAATAAGTGGAAAAATTCTTACATGATAGGAAAACTTAATTTTAATATTCTTATACAAATACCTATTTAATCATCTATTTAAACCAGTTAGCCTCCATAGCAGCCAGTCTCATGATGACATGGGACTTTCAGTGAACTTGTATTTTCAGTTTTCAGTGAACAGCCACAAAATCTACAATCATAAATAACTCAATAGCTGGCCTTGGAAAAACCCTCAAAAACTTCCTATTACAGAGTTTCTCATTATTATCAGGAATGAAAAGAAGGAAAAGACAGAGGGCCAGATACTCACATAACTTTATCAGTGACTTAAATAAAGATGTGTTTAAAATTTGTAAGAGAATGCAATACATATCAATACTGGTATTATGTGATTGGAAGATATTTTCTGGATGCATTTGAGATTACTATATTATTCTTAAATAGCAAGCAATGAATTAATAAAGCCAGTTATTCTAACTAACTACAGATATCTGTAAGTATTTAAAATATTAAAATTCATTTCAGGACCTCTTAAACATAAATGTTAGTTCTATTAGCTCCCCTCCATTGTTGTCCTTCGTCCTCAAGGTCTTTAACTGAAACCTTTTTGTACAATAAAACATAGTATAACTATGTTACAGTCTTTGTACAGTAAAGTGCTTTTTAGAGATGGAATTCAACATCTGAGTGAGAAAGAAAAAGCATTTTTGTGCTAAGTGGAATCTTTCTAAAATGGAAAAATCAAGAGAGCTAAATCTCATAGAAGTGCACCAATTCACTCTCTATATGAATATATTCTCTATATACACATTACATTAGCATCAGGAAGATGTAACCATAGTTAAGAGAAATATGGGATGAGTGAGTGGAGCAAATACAGGCTCATCTTTTCCTCCATTACTGCATTATCTGTGCTTTGTTATCCCTGCTATCCTGCTAACAGGATTACAAGGTAGTGGGAAACATATTTCTATCAGTCAAATAAACACACAAAACTATGAATGTGATCATACAGTGATCTATAAATAACATATTGCAACACGGTTACTTCCTTGACCATAAACTGCACTTGAAAATTACTCAAAATGCTGTATTTTCATGGGGGAAAATTTGACGCGTAGGGAATTAACTACAGCACTGGTATTGTTAAACTTTAGTACTGCATATAAAGTCTATACTGGCTAGGTAAATGTGCTGACTATACTGACATAAGTTTTCCAGTTGCGTGTATGCAACTATATTGCATATGTTATTAGCAGGGTAAGGAGATACCCCCGTTTTTCTTTAAATCAGAATATATTTCATATTCAGAGACAAATACTAGTAGTTGCTAAATTCAGCAAACTGTCACCACTGCTGGAAACATACAAAACAAAAGATCTTTTCAGCAGGATGTTGAAATAAAACTAAATCAAGTAATTACCTCTTAATGGTAAATGACAGTTTTTCAGAGTACAGTCCTCCTGGCACAGGTTCATACACAGCCCCTACTATCTGCAAAATAAATAATCTACAGGTAATTGAAGAAAAATATTCCGTTATTTATTTGAAGATCCCATATGATAAGTATTGTTCCTTGAAACAACCTGATGGGCATTACATCATCAGCTCTAACTTGCAAAACAACTTAGAACACATCTTCTAACGCAGGATGTAACTTCTAATCAGGTATCTACATTAATGTACGTGCTCACTGTAGATCAAAGGGCTACAATATCTGAATAAAGGAAACATTAAAAAAAAAACCCTACATTGATTTATTTTTATTTATGATCACATCCTAAGGTGTAATACACAATGCTATAGAAAATCCAGTATTATAGTACATCAAGAAATTTTATATATCTAAAGCTCCTATCACCAAATGCAATGATAAAAATATGCTAGTCTGAGAGGTAATAATATACTAACATTTACAAGTAATTTTTGCAGTTAGAATGGCAAGATAGCAATTCATACAATGATAAACACTTGTGCTCATTCACACATCAGACCAGAGAGCAGTTTATGCTTCTATAACCTTAAACATAAATTCTTACGGGTCTACTGAACACATGCAGAAATAACTGGTAGGTTGATCTGGCAAATCCAAATACCTTAGTTGCCAAGGAGAGCATATTGGTGCTGTAAAACGGTGGGTTCAGAGTTGCCATCTGATAAAGAATGCATCCTGCAGCCCAGACATCAGCCTTCTCTCCATACGGCTCACTCTTTACAACTTCAGGGCTAAGTAAAAAGCAATGCAACCCACAAGTCCTTAATTAATTCACCTAGAAGTAGGCTTATTTTTTTTTTAAAACACCCAATATTTAGGTAGTCACTACAACATACTTTGAGAGCATATACAATCATGTTCAAAAGGTTGCATTTATTTCCTTTATCAGCCAAATTCTTTAAGTGGAAGTACAATTAATAGCTTTTCCACTTCTACTGCAGTACTTCTCACAACACTAGTGGTTTATATTTTGTTCACTTGCCCTTTCCACTCATTTCATGTTATAATGTCTTTGGACTTAATGGATACAAATGAACTACGGCATTCAGAACTTGTTTACAATGATGGCATTTTAATAAAATGGACTAGAGAACAGATATATATATCGTATCCTCTTGTAATTCAGATATCAGAAAGATTTGAATAGGATTCCTGTATTTAGAATGCTAACGGATATGATTTTGCCATTAATGTGAGTAAATAAACTTTACTCATTATATCATTTTCATCCTCTTAAAACTAATGCATTCCCTGTGAGGGTGCCATGTGGACACTCAACAGCCAGCTGAAAGACAATTAAAAAAAAAATCCCTTGTAAAGATCCATTTAAAGCAAAAGGAAGAAGGCAGTAATTTCAGTTTTGACTCAGTACACAGCAGACTCCAATTCCTTCTGTTAATTTCCTCAGCACTCTTCATAAGCCTGAATGATAATAATTTATATTAGTAGGGATATTCTGATGCTGGAGTTCAAGTCTTAGCAGTAAGTAAAGGTCATATCACATAATGTGGGGTTTTTTCACTTAGCATCTTCTCTCTGTAATTATTCAGAGATATAAAAAATACTTGACTCCTTTTATGTGTAAAATCAACTTGAAAACCTACTTGTTTTCCTTTTCCTTTCAGCTTAGAATTTGGAACTACTGTATCAACTTCATGATTATACTACTGATATATTTGGTAAAGTGCCTTATTTTGGAGCTGAGAGGTACTGTGTAAATTCAATTAATGATGCAGTCTGTATAAAGTATATTGCTAGACGGTGTGCTGCTGATATGTACAAAGTGCAGAAAACAAGATTTTTAAAATACATGGGATGAGGTCCCTTAGATAATTTCTCTACAGCATAATAGTTTAAGTGATCTTAACAGAACAAAGTCAGAACAGAGGTCAGTCACAGTATGGGGAAGTGAGACAGACTGACAGGTCACACATTTCTGATAAAATTGATCAAGCAAAATACAGATTCCTGGGTGAAACTTAATTAGCAATTTTCCTTGAATTTTACTCCTGCTATTATACAACCACAGAGGGGAATACAGGATGTTGAACATGGTGTTAGAACAGAATATCATTTCTGTAATCAGACTGTCTTTATTCCTGGCTGTGACACTAACTCATTAGAGGACTCTGTGGAAATTTCATTTTTATGTATTAAGTGTGTCTGTTAGAGCAAACATTGGTATTGCAACTTATCGTACAGATGGTGAACTCAGTAAGGCAAAGCCCCTGTCTTAGTAAAGTTCCAAGCATGCTCCTACTCAGAAAAATGAATCTGACTTGAATTTTTCATTCTAGTGATAATTTTAATGTATAAAGAGACAGTTGTAAATTATTAAAATAAGATTAATAAATTTTAATAAATTATTATTAAAATAAATATTAAAATCCCAAACTGAGATTATTCAGGCCAAATCTATGTAACTATGCAAAAAGTCACACAGCAGTCACAGAAAGAACAAGCTGAATATAAATTGAGAGAGAAACAGAAGGAACCATGACCTGGCCTGCAGAATCTTGTATTCGTGAACACCAGGAAAGAACCTAGCCTGGTGTCCAGAGCAAACAGCAGTCCATTGGACTGGTGACTAGGAAAAAATGTATGTGTTACTACTACAATTTGGAAAACACGGGAAGAATACAGTGCTGACAGAGTTGTAGTTTTAGCATGGTTTGACAAAAATGCATAATAGCTCAAGTTAATGAAATCATTTGGTCTGCTTATTCATGCAGAAAGACTTCTTGTTCTAAATGCATACCTAACCCCCCTTTTTTTTTTTTTAAATCAAGAGGAGGACTTGCAGCTGAGTACTACTTGATCTTTTTTTCCAGAACAAATGTCTTTAGTCAGAAGTCTCTGACATTTAGAGCATTAGGATGACCAATACCTTAAATAAATACTGTCTCATGCTTAAGAAGTACTTTAAATTACTGAAGTAGTATTTAGCTAAGGTGACCATGAAGGTTTTCCAGAGAATACAAAATCCTATTCTTATATGATGCTATGCTTTCATGGCTAAGTAATTCTGTAATTTAGATTTTAAAATAGAATTTTCAAATATTATTTATTTACTTTTAAGAGATGCAGTGAAATCCCTCACCATGTTCTACAGGCTTGCCTCACCATCTGCTAGTTAGAAATGTGGGTGGCTACAGTACTTGTTGACTAGCAAAACAGTTCTGCAGTTCTGCATCTTTTGGATCCGCACCGTTGAGGGATGCCAAGCAGAGAAAGTACCCAGTTCTGTTCCTCTACACCACTACCCACAAACAGGAGCATGGTGGGAGTACATAAGGTTTGTCTAATCCAGCTGACAACTGTGTATAAACTGTCACTGTCTGGTCAAGACCAGAAAGAATGAGTAGAACCAGACTCTGAATTTTATTCCATAAAACCCCTACAAAAGTGGTCTTAGCCACAAACACTGAAAATTAATTTAAGGGTGTAGCATTGGTATGACATTTTTTTTTTGTTTATTTGTAAAGGCAGGATTCTTCCTTTAATTTTTAGGTTGGCTGAAATAGTTCAGTGGCACTAATTAAATTTTTAGCAAACAGATGTCCACATTATAAAATGCATTCAGTGTCAAAATAAAATACATAAAGGGAGAAACTCTAAGAGCTGATAAAGAATTTCATTTCCATTGCTCCAAGGGTTGATCTTACTGCTGCATATCCACAGGCCTGGATATTAAAAGAGGCAGCAGATAGTTTTATAATTGGTCATTTAGTTCTTGCAGCTAACATATTCAAGATAATCACTACAGTTTTCCTCTAGGTTTACAAATCACTGCTCATTTCCAAATTACATATTCAAGCTGGAAAAGCTTACTTCAGCAGCATTATGCTAACTATAGGAGAGTCCTTCACGAAATGAATGTCCACAGCAAAAGCAAGACTAAATTCTTCTAAATGAAAGACACAGAAACATATCCACAGAATAATTCTCCAAATTCTCAGCATCCTTGAACAGACAGTTTTATAACTGTTCCTCAGAAAGTTCACTCTTGCTCAACATATCAGCATTGCTTTTATATTTAATAACAGTCTTCTATGCCAACAGCCTTAAAATTACTCTTGAATTAGATTAAGCCATTGCTTAGTCCAAAGAGTTATCTGGTTTTGCTTCTGAACTACTTTTGCAAAATTAAGCAGCTATTTTAAATACAGAAGATAGCTTTCCATACTACCCCACATTTTTAATTAGGATTTAAAAAAAGAAAATAAAATCTTGTCAATATTTGTGCTACGTGTAAAACACCAAACACACTTCACCTAATCATCTCTACGTGGCCTTGGAGATATTTTTGCAATCAAGCTTTCATTTATAATTTTGCTCACTGATGTTATTTTGTCATGGTTTTTGTTTAAGAATACTTTTAACAGAGATTTACAAACAGACTGTGCCAACCTGAATCTGCTACATTAGTACTATCACATACCTATATGAAAGATGACTATCCTCACTAGATTAGCTCATGTTCACATTAGTTATTTAGTGGATAGAAATTCCAAAATGAAGGAAGAAGTCCTGAATTTGGAGAGGGAGGAAAGGAGGAGCTGAGGGAATGATGTTTTCAAAACAGCATTAATTTTCTAGAGCTTCTAAAGCTTCTAAGAACTGTTGTCAATATTATCAGGCTGCCTTTACACGGGACGCAATCAGTAAAGATTTCCCAAGCTGCACAGAACTTCAGTAAGCCACGCGTCAGTTGTCTTGGTACAGTGTTCACTGGTTAATCCAAGTGCTTCTGACAGGTGTAAGAACAAGCTGGTATATGTCATCCTACAGTATGAGGAGTATTTTCAAATGAGACATGATTTCAACTAAACAGTTATGGACTAATTAAAATAAGAGTGATTCTTCAAGACTAACTCCCAGAAGAGGTGATGGCTGGAATGGAAGAGTAAATAAATAAGAAGCATACACCACTGCAGAAGATTTTAACAATGGCAGAGGTATTGCTTTTAGTCTTTATCATTCCTCCAATTAATTATTTAAAGTTTGACGGAGATTCCTGCAGTTGGTGGTGGTTATACAAACACTCATGCCTAGAAACCATACCTAGTTCAGGAAGCAACCCAAGCTGAAAATGGTTGGGAGGCTAGCAAAGTATCAAATATGCTTATCCCATTCTTCCTTCGCTGTGGATATTGACTTATTGCCACTGTTGGAGATAGGACAGTAGGAGAGATGGTAGACAAGTTTGCCATATACTGATAAACCTTTTTTTTTTTTTTTTTGGTCCCAAATACTAAAAGAGTCTCTGCAGCTTCTATTAGCTTCAGATATTCCAATATCTTTGTTAAGCTACCTATAAAATAATACTTTCTTGCAATGGATAGCCTTTTTTAGAGTTGTTGGCAGAACTCATCAAAGCAAAGTAGAGGATTTACACAATCTTTGCACCTATAACTGCCACAATTCACTATGAAAATGAGACTGCCATTCTCTGGCCCAGGCTAACCAGGGATTTTTCCAGTAGTGTCTTGAAAACCTTCAGAGGTGGAAGACTACACAATCTCTCTGGGCAGCCTGTTCTATATTCGACTGTTATAATGGTGAAAAAAAATTTGTCTTATATCAAGTTAGAATCTCTCCTGTTTCCGTGAACGTCTATTTTCTCAGAAAAGGGCCAAGACCACCAATTCCAGTCCAAAGAATGAGAAAATCAAGGGTATGCTTGTGTTTGAGCACCACTAAACTACTGCAGGATAATTTGTGAGGCCAG